TTATTACCACTACATCTGGTACAAGCTAGCGGAAAAATGATCCCACGCTAAGGTTCAAACTATACCTTTTGAAACACCCTGTGGTGTCTACTTTAAGAAATGGTAGGCCTTTGTGGGGTAGATTGAATTTAAAACCTGCGAAGATGCTTGGAAATTGCACATAGGCCCAGCGTCAAAATTCAAAGTTTGGTAAAACGGATATGGCTTGGTCTCCTATATGGCACTGTAGCTTCACGAAATAGTGCCAAAGACATTCATATGGGGTGTCATTTTACTCAGAAGACTTAGCTGAGCATAATTTGGGGGTTTTGAACTTAGTGGCACATATGAAATATACAAAACGCCCAGCAAAAATGCAATCCGTATGTAAAAAATGCACAAAATTATTTTTTACCACATACTTTGGCATATATTGGTGAAAAATGGGGGCATGTTAAGGCACAATATGCACCTTATAAGATACCCTGGAGTGTCTACTTTTACAAATGGTAGGCCTTTGTGGGGGTTTTTTGAACAGTCAAACTGTTATAATACCCCAAATGGAAGCTAAGGCTCATTAAATCCGTCTCTCAAAATTCTACTGTGAATACTGCAAAGGACAGGTCTCCTATATGGCACTGTAGCTTCACGAAATAGTGCCAAAGACATTCATATGGGGTGTCATTTTACTCAGAAGACTTAGCTGAGCATAATTTGGGGGGTTTGAACTTAGTGGCACATATGAAGTATACAAAACGCCCAGCAAAAATGCAATCCGTATGTAAAAAATGCACAAAATTATTTTTTACCACATACTTTGGCATATATTGGTGAAAAAATGGGGGCATGTTAAGGCACAATATGCACCTTATTAGATACCCTGGAGTGTCTACTTTTACAAATGGTAGGCCTTTGTGGGGGTTTTTGGAACAGTCAAACTGTTATAATACCCCAAATGGAAGCTAAGGCTCATTAAATCCATCTCTCAAAATTCTACTGTGAATACTGTAAAGGACAGGTCTCCTATATGGCACTGTAGCTTCACGAAATAGTGCCAAAGACATACAATGGGGGTGTCATTTTACTCAGCAGATGTAACTGAACACAAAATAAAACTTTGAACAGGAATAGCACACATCAACTTTACAAAATATACACGAGAATTTCTCTGTTATAAGTTTGTGTGCCAAAAACCAAAAAGAACACAATTTTACTCCAATATTTAGCAGAGGTTGGCAGTGAAATGGCTACGTAGAAAGTGTCAAAACAACCTTAGGTAAATAGCCTGTGATATCTACTTTATATAAATATATACTTTTGTGTGGCAATTTTGTTTTCTTTTATGGCTATTAAGCTTACAAGACAAACATACCAAATTCTAAAATCGCTCCACATTAAAAGTTTATTTTACGGGGGGCGTGGCCTGGCGGCGGTGCTGAACGGTCGCATGCACTGAGCGCTCCGTTCCGACAAAGCCCGAAGGAGTAATTTGGCAGACAAGCCGACGGAAAATCCCCAGAATACAGACACACAGAGCCGACATGGCACAATCCAAGGGAAAGAGGCAGGCAGACAGGGCTGAAAAAACTGCATTTTTCGCCCTGCGGACACCGCAGGGGAAACAGGCCCAGGTGGAGGATATCCAAGATGGCGCCGAGGAATCGGCAATACAATACAGCCAGCTGCAAAACAGTGAGACCCCCCTCACACAGGAGATGCTGAGAACCATGCTGGAGGAGATGTCTGCAAGGTTGGAACATAGTTTTAAAACTACTATGAGGGCCATGCATAAAGACATACAGGAGCTGGAGGGGAGGACTACAGGGACGGAAAACAAAATGGCGGAGTTGGAGGAAGCACACAGAGGGCTAGAGAAAGAGGTGTCCGAGCTGCAAAACCAAGTGAAAACATACGATTTAAAATTGGCAGACATGGAAGACAGAGCCCGCCGGAATAACCTAAGGATTCGTGGAATCAAAGAGGAAGTGGGGCAAGCAGAATTGGCGGCATACCTGCACGACCTGCTGAAAAAGCTGGCACCTGATATACCACAAGACCAGTTACTCATGGACAGGTACCATAGAACAGCCAAACCCAGC